CAGCTTGCCAGGAAACCCGGGCTTGAAGTTTCCGTAAAGCTAGTGTATTCAGTGAAAAGGATTCTCCTCTGTTCAAAGTATGCATCAGTCAGTCAGTTCAGTCGCTCGGTCATGTCCGACTCTTTGCGACCCCATGAACCACAGCACGCCAGTCCTCCCTGTCCATCACCAACTCCCGGAGTCCACCCAAACCCTTGTCCATCGAGTTGGTGATGCCATCCAACCATCTCATCCTCTGTTGTCCCCTTCTCCTCCTGCCTTCAATCTTTCCCAACATTAGGGTTTTTTCAGTTGAGTCAGTTCTTCGCATCAGGTGGCCAAAATATTGGAGTTTCAACTTCAACATCAGTCCTTCCAATGAACACCCAGTCCTGGTCTCCTTTAGGATGGACTGGTTGGATCTCCTTGCAGTCCAAGGGACTCTCAAGAGTCTTCTCCAACACCACAGTTCAAAAGCATCAATTCTTTGGCACTCAGCTTTCTTTATAGTCCAATTCTCACATCCATCCATGACTACTGGAAAAACCATTGCCTTGACGAGATGGACCTTTGTTGACAAAGTAATGCATGTCTTAATTTTATTATTTTAGTATCAAATACCCTTTACTTATTGGGTGGGAGTACAGGAGGTGGTCATTATTGTCTTTCAATTTCTTACTTCAAAAAACAATATGGTGGTAACACCATTGGTATGTTCATATTTTTAAAAAGTATTAGTTTGTGAAAATCCAAAGTCAGGGAACCACTGCCCTGGATTCTTTAGGGTGTGGGTCTTACCTCTCATGTGGGAACTGACACGTCAGGCTGACTCATAACCCTCCTGGCCTGGGGCCCACCAGTCTCCACTCTGGCTCCTGGGGAAAAGGAAGTTTCCTTATGTCCTGTGTAGACAGGAGTTGGGGGCTGGGAATTCCAGAGCCTGACATCTTCCTTGGGAGGGGAAGAGAAAGGGGCTCCCCCTCCCACTGGCTGTGGAGTCTTAAAAACTCCCGTCCTGGAGCAGGGGTTCCTGGGCTGATAAGCCCTGTCTTCTTGAATTCTCCCCGGGAGAAGTGGCCACTGCAGGCTCACACCAACCTGCACCAACCTCTAATTTTATGAACTAGGGGATTGCAATTCAATATCTTATAATAATGTATAGCGGAAAATAATCAGAAAATAAGAAAATAAGTAATTATATAAGTATATATGTGTAACTGAATCATTTTGCTGTATATCTGAAACTAACACGATACTGCAAATCAACGATACTTCGATTAAAAAAACCAGGTGATCGCAAATGCTTTTGAATCCCCTGTGTGTCCCTTCCCAACCACAGCCCTTTCTCTCCCCAAAGGCAAACACATCCTCAGCTTGTGTGTTTCACTCCCCTGGTACTTTGTGTTTCTGGTTCCTGAAACAATACATTGTATTTGTTTGTCAGTCTGACATAAATGCTGCTTTCTGCTTTGAAGTTCATCAGAGGTAGAGATTGTAGTAAAAGAAGAAAACAACAAAATACCAACATTTACTCCCCCATTTTCCTGTGAACAGACCTCTGGGTGGTCTCCAGAATTTTGCGACTGTAAGCAGTGCTGCTCCGTGTCCTGCTGGTGCCTGCGTTCACACTGCTGGGCCAGCAGCCTTCCTTGGGTTGTGGCACAGATGCTCTCGCAGCAACTTACTGTCAGGGCCACCCCGAGCCTGGAGAAGATGGGTCCTGGGTGCTGAGAGACCCGACCCAGTCCCCCGGCTGATGGAGGCAATCTTGGGCCTCTGGGGTTTCCTCGTCTCCTTCCCAAAGGAAGTTACTGCAGTTCTCCAAGCCTAGACACGGGTGAAGGAGGCATCCCCCTCTCCTCAGGACACATGAGTGGCAGGGCACTGCATGGCACGGATGAGTGGAACACCGCCTCTGCCTCGTGAGTGTCCCCTCTCCCCCTGCCTGCACGTGCCCCGGGGGCTGTGTCCTGAGCCCGTGCTGGGCAGCTCCCCGCTGTTTCATGGCCTCCACGTCCAGCGGGTTGGCCAGGGGCGCTGCTGACCTCACAGGCTGCGGACACCCCCACGTTGCGCACTCTCAGGCCCTAGGTCTCAAGATGCCGAGCCTCAGGCCCCTGGGACACCTGCCCTCATTGCCCCTACTGCAGCGGGGGAGGAGGGGGCGCCCGGCCTTGCTCCCCACCTACAGCCAGCCCTGTGACCGCTCTGCCTTCTGGAGCTGCGCCGCTGCCACCGCCCCTCCTCTGGGCTGCCTGTGCTCAAGCCCCTTCTTTCTTAAAAGTAACCCCTCTGAGGCGGCCTCCCCTCTTCAGCCTGACCTTTTGACTCGCAAAGTCTCAGGGGTTTTCCCACTCAGATGTTGTTCACCTTTTTATTTCAGGCCCTCCCTGTTCTGCGGGGTCACAGCCAAGCTGTGACAGGAGTGCCTCTCCTTGCATTACCGCCTCCCGCTCGCACCCCTGCATCTTCACTTTCACCCCGTCTTGTCTGTTGCCACTTTCTCTGACGAGTGAATTTGTTTCACTCAGCCTTCAAGCCCAACCCCTGTGTCCTTGCCCTTCAAGCTGCCCCAGTCCCTCCGTTAGAATTAATCTCTCCTGATGACACGATTTTGATTTTCATCACAGCCTGTCTTTTAGAAAATTTATTTCCACTGGAGGATAATTGCTTTGCAATATCATGTTGGTTTCTGCCATACATCAACGTGAATCAGCCATAAGTATGTGTGTGTCCCCTCCGTCTCAGCCTGTCGTGAACACAGCATGCTGTATGCATCATGGAGGCGTGCATGTGAGTAGGTACGCTTGTGCGTGTCTGTGCAAATGCAAGTTTAGGAGCACATGTGTGTGTGCCTCTCCACTGCCTGAGTGGGAGTGTTTTGGAGTCAGGAACCGAGTCCCCAGCATCTTTGAGTCACTGCAAGCCAACACCGTTTGCTGACTGCAGCAGGAACTGTGTTCTCCCACAAAGACGTGGGCAACCCCTAAGCCCTGCCATCTGTGAGTGCCAGCCTCTGCAGATATGATCAGGGTGGGCCCTGGGCAGGGACTGGTGTCCTGATAGAAGGGGGACTTTGGACGCGGGCGCAGAGAGGCCGGCACGGCTCCCCGGGCCTCTGAAGGCAGACATGGAGTCACGCAGCCGCAGGCCCAGAGCTGCCGCAACCACCAGCAGCAGGAGGACGCAGGACGGCTCCTGCCCCAGGGTCTCTGGGGGAGCGTGATCCTCTGAGGGATCACAGCCCCCGGAACTGTGAGACTATAAACACCCGAGCTCTGCAACCACCGAGCCGGTGGCACTGGTTACTGCAGCGCTGGCGCTGCACACGTAGAGCGAGTGCCCGGGACGCAGAAAGGGTCTGCCCGCAGCAGACGGTAGGGCCCTAACACACACAAAGCTCACTTTCCTGCACCTCTGGAGGGGTCTGCACACCAGCCTTCCGTGTCTCTCGGTTTTGTGTTCATAGCGCTGGTGGTGGAGTTTGAGATTTTGGAGACATTCCCAACTGCTGGCTTCAGAGTGTCCCTGGAAGGGCTGGGCTTCCAATGACAAGGGTTACTTTTCTTTCTCAGTTGAAAAACCAAGGGAAGGACATTTTCTGGGTCCCTGGGGACAGCAGGCACCCCGGAAAGGGTGGCCCCGAGTCCCAGCACACAGGGGCCGGGTTGTTGCCATTCCCCCCCTTCCTCTCTCCCTGGAGGAGCCAGTGGCCTGCCTGCCTTGGCCTCGCATGGACCTGGGCAGCTCTCACTGCTCACCTCAGGTTCATCCGCATTCAGCGGCAGACTAATTTGACCCCCACAACCTGGAAGGAAGCTGGGTAAAGTGTCATTTCTACTACCCAGCAGAGGAAACAGGTGACTGGCCCCAGGTCACATGGCTCATCCATGCCAGCGCCCAAAGCCTGGTCTCCAGCTCTCATTCCTTGAAAGTCGTTCAGCTCCTCTAGCCAAGAAGGAGGACCCCCTGGAGGAGGGGGTGTTTGGGGAAGGGGCTGCCTTGTATGCCCAGGCTTTTTGCTCAGCAGCAGGCTTGCCCTTCACTGGGGATCTCAGAGCTGGGAGGCACTGTAGGGACCCCCAGCTCCGGGTTAGCGCCCCAGGGGAGCCAAGCTGGCCAGTGAGACACAGCAGGCCGCGTCATTTCCAGCCCTCCTACCCCCTGTCTTCTCCTACTGGTGCCGGGGGTTGCACCTCCTTCCTCTGGGAGCCGCAACAGTCTGATGCCCAGGGAAGACCAGATTCCCCTGCTAGGCACTGACCCTCCCTGGTCCCCTGAGGTCCTGCAGCATGGGAGGCGCGCGCAGCTGGACGTGCACCTAAAGGGATCCAGGTGGTACCTCACTGGCTCCGGAACTTCCGCTCTACTCCCCTGTTCGCTGTGCCCCGGGGGAAAGCCGGCCGGGTTCAACCCCCTGCCCCGCCAGCCCAAAGTCCGAGCGCGCCTCCGAAGCCTTGGCTTCTTCGGAGCCGTGAGCGCTCCGTGTGCAGAAGGAATCCCGGCTCTTCTTTCTGGAGGGGCGCTCTTTGCACGGGGCGTGCCCGCAGTTTTCCGCGCCCCGCGCGCTACTGGGAAGAGCATCTGACCCAAGATGTGCGCCTGCCCACCCGCTTTCCAGCTGGGTTTCGCGTGGTCGAGCCGGTCGGCGGGCGGAGAGCGGGCTTGACCCGGGGCACCCCACTGCCAGTCGGGCACCCGCGGGAGGGGGCGGCCCGGCGGGCTGGTTCGACAAGTTCCGAGCAGGAAGTCTCGGTCCCCACCCTGGGCGGCCGCCCCGCCCCGCGCGGCCTGGGCGCCCGTCCGCCGGTCCATCCGTCCGTCTGTCCCTCAGTGCCTCGACCGGTCTAGGGCGCGGGGCCGGGAGGCCGGGGTGGGGATCGGGGAGGCTCCGTTCACGACGCCCCCACCCACAGGCCAATCCGAGGCGGCAGGCGGCGCGGCTGCGCGGCTGCGGCTGCGCAGGGCGCGGCCTGGGATAAGAGGCCAGGTGAGCCTACCTGCACCGCGGGCGGGGCGCGGGGCGGCGCGGAGCAGACGGGACGAGCGGCGGTCCGGCGGCATGTCGGGCAGCAGGAAGAGCTGGGCCGCTCTGTCCAGGTGAGCCGGGGTCCTGACTGCTCCGGGGGCCACAGGGTCGGGGCCACGCTGCACAGCCCCCGTGGTTCCGGCCCTCCTTTCTCCTTGGGGACGCAGGCCAGAGCAGGCTGCCTGCGGAGGGCTGTCCAGCCCGGAGAGGCCGCTCTGGGGGCTGGGGAGGGTTCCGGAGGTAAACGACCAAGTCTCAGCTTCCAGCCGCCCCTGACTGCCTGTCTTTCTCTGGAGAGTCTGAGAGGCCCCTCCGGGAGAAGGCCACGGCACCGCCTCAGAGGGTCAGTGAGTAGGCCAAGCGGGCAGGTGCCTTTCCAGGGATGAGGCTCAGGTTCTGGGCACAGCGTTTTGGGGTGCTGTCGGGGCTGGGAGAGCTCACGCTTGGCACTCCCCCTCTCTGCGCTTCAGTCTTCACTCACCAGCGGGGCCTTCAAAGGGTCCAGGGCCTGGGTGTCTCATCCTTGTCTGCTGGACAGCTAGTCAGGTCAGAGAAGCCTGGGGGGGGGGGGGGGNCAGCAGCCTTATGTGATTGGTGACCCCTGAACTTCTCTTAGGGTCCCACCAAGAGCATCTCCTGGCCCCCCCCCCCACATCACCCCCAGAAAACAGGCCCATGTAGTGGATGGGCAGGAGCTGGGTCCCTACTCCTTGACCCGAAGGCTCTCGCTGGTAGAAATTGGCCCCAGGTGGGTGTTGGGGTGGGGAGGCCAGGCTGCCTCTGCAGGTGTGGGCAGCTCTGCCCATCAGGACCTTGACCCTCCCCTTCCCCCCACCCCCAAGGGCCACAAGCTCCAGGGACCCCCCATGGCAGCAAGCCCCCCAGGGCTGGGGTCCCCCTGAGCTCTCTGTCCTCACTGCTCTGCAGCAGAGTTCTGTGGGGTCTGGAAAGGGGAGGATACGCCCCAAGAAAGGAGGTGCTTGGTGTTCTGGATGGGGGCCCAGCGTCTCAGAGGCCAGCCACACCCAGGGAGGGTCTGTGCAGAGGGTGGGGCTGGCGGTCAAGGTCTTGGACTCTGCATGTGGGTCTGATGCGGGAGTGTCTTATGCGTCCAGGTGGGGCCTGTGTTCTGGTGTGTGTGCATAAGCACGTGTGGGCCCTGCATAGTGCATAGTGCGAAGTCTGGGTGGGTGGGAGGTTCTGATGTTGCCATTTGGGCCTTGGGCATTCGCATCTGCTCAGATGTCCATTGAGGACGACGGTGCAGGATCTGGTCTTCACTGGCCCTCTGCTCAGAGGCCCCGGGTTCCTGTGTCTGCAGGGGTGGGCTCGAGTGTCCTGGGGAAGCTGCCCTGCCTCCTCAGCGCCCTGGGCAGCTGCAGCTGGAGCCGGGACCCTCCGCCCCGCTCCTGGGAACAAGCCCCAGCTGGCAGAGGGAAGGGCTGTGAGTCACTGTCAACCAAGCTTCCCAGGCAAGGGCGGGGGTTGCTGAGGAAGGGGCGAGGAGCGTGGCTCCAGGCAGGCCCAGGTGGGCAGCGGAGGGCCAGCGGGCCCCCCATCCTTGGCGCCAGGTTGAAATGCAGACGCCCAGCCCTGGATAGGTGCCTGGTGCCTGGCCCTCTCCTGCCCATGAGGTGGTGGAGGGGGGGTGGCCCTGTCCGCAGGGAGCAAGGGTGGGTCGGGTGCCCAGGACAGAGCGGTTGGGGGTTAATCATTGCCCTGCCTGGCCTCCTGCAGCCCTGCCACCTCCAAAGCCACCTGGTTCTCCCTGGCACCTCTCCCTATACCGTCAGGGCTGGAGGGGATCTCACTGACCACCCACAGCGGTCCCTCTCATGGGGAGGCCAGCTCCTCTCTGGCAGCACACCAGCCCCAGGTCACAGGGCCTGGTGTCAGGCCTGCACCCCCTCTTCCCCTCCCAAGGTCTGCACGTCCTGCCCTTTGAGCCTGGGCCTCCATGGAATGCCCTGGGGTGGCCACTGTGCCCTCCCCTGCTAACCCTCCCCAGGCAGCTGAGCCCTGACCTGTTGCACAGAGGACTTCTTTGTGCAATTCCCTTAGGAAGGAAGGGTTTTGCTGGTCAATCTGCCCGCAGGGACACCCCTGCCCTCAGCTGCTGACCATGGGCAGGGCAGACTCAGGAAGACGGGCCTGGGGGAGGGAGCCAAACCGGCTCTCCCCTGCATAGCGGGCAAGGAGTTTCCTGAAACACAGAAGGGAACAGGAGATCCCTTCCTCTAAGGATGGAGCTTGGGGGCTGCCAGGCCTGCCTGTAGTGGAGAGGGCTGCGTGTCCCAGGGCCGGCTAGGTGGTGGGGGGTGGGGCGGGGGTGGCTGCTGGGGCTTCAGCTGGTGGCCGTGGCTGGCACCCCCGGGTGTCGGTGTGCACTGACCCTGGTGCTCTAAAGGACAAGTTGTTGGCCACTGGGTCTCCCCAAACCTGCTTCCCCAGGCTGCGCCGGAGCTCAAGCCGGGCTTGGGAGTCCCACGCCTTCTGGCCCCTCCCAGGCACCCCACTACCTCTGACTGCTCAGCTCCTGGGCTCCTGAGAAGGTGGAGCCTCCCCCGGCATCCTTCCTGGCACTGGGCCTTGTGGTTAACAGGCTGCCGTGGCTGTGAACCTCGGTTCCTTCTTTTACTGGCCATCCTGCCTTGGGTACCTGGCTGATCCTGTGAGCCTTGGAAGCCTCATCTGCAGAATGGAGGTGAACCCCCCCCCCCTGCATTCCTCAAGGTTGTGGGGGCCTCTTGTCAGTCACCCTTGTGAGCACCCGGTGCTGTCTAGGCACATGTCAGAGCCCCCACTGCTTCCTTTATTTATTGGTTTACTGGTCACTGTATTCACCAAACACGTGTGCTTCTGAGTGCTGAGCACTGCTCTGGGCACTTTGTTGTTGTTCAGTCCCTCAGTCATGTCTTTGCGACCCCATGGACCGCAGCAAGCCAGGCTTCCCTGTCCATCACCAACTCCTGGAGCTTACTCAAACTCATGTCTGTTGAGTCGGTGATGGCATCCAATCATCTCATCCTCTGTCGTTCCCTTCTCTTCCCCATCTTCAATCTTTCCCAGCATCAGGATATTTTTTAACAAGTTGGCTCTTCCCATCAGGTGGCCAAAGTATTGGGCTTCAGCTTCAACATTGGTACTTTCAATGAATATTCAGGGTTGATTCCCTTCAGGATGGACTGGTTTGATTTCCTTGCTGTCCATGAGACTCTCAAGAGTCTTCTCCAGCACCGTAATTCAAAGGCATCAATTTTTTGGTGCTCAGCCTTCTTTATGGTCCAACTCTCACATCCATACATGACTACTGGAAAAATCACAACTTTGACTATATGGACCTTTGTTGGCAAAGTGATGTCTTTGTTTTTCAATGCACTATCTAAGTGTGTTATAGCTTTCCTTCTAAGGAGCAAGCATCTTTTAATTTCATGGCCGCAGTCACCGTCCATGGTGATTTTGTAGCCCAAGAAAACAAAATCTGTCTCTCCTTCCACCTTTTCCCCATCTATTTGCCATGAAGTTATGGGACTGTATGCCATGATTTTAGTTTTTTCAATGTTGAGTTTTAAGCCAGTTTTTTTCTCTCCTCTTTTATCCTCATCTAGAGGCTCTTTAGTTCCTCTTCACTTTCTGCCCTAAGAATGGTATCATCTGCATATCTGGGGTTGTTGATATTTCTCCCGGCAATCTTGATTCCAGCTTTGGATTCATCCAGCTGCATTTTGCATGATGTAGTCTGCATGTAAGTTACAGACATATAAGTTATAGTCTGCATTTAAGTTATAAGGGTGATAATATACAGCCTTGTTGTACTCCTTTCCCAACTTTGAACCAGTCCTTTGTTCCATGTAAGGTTGACTGTTGCTTCTTGACCTGCATACAGATTTCTCAGGAGGCAGGTAACATCGTGGTCTGGTATTCCCATCGCTTAGAGAATTTTCCACAGATTGTTATGCTCTACACAGTCAAAGGCTTTAGCTTAGTCAATGAAGCAGAAGTAGATGTTTTTCTGGAATTCCCTTTCTTTCTCTATGATCCAGCAGATGTTGGCAATTTGATCTCTGGTTCCTCTGCCTTTTCTAAACCCAGTTTCGCAATCTGGAAGTTCACAGTTCACGTCCTATTGAAGCCTAACTGGAAGGATTTTGAGCATAACCATAGCAGCATGTGAAATGAATGCAATTGTCCAGAAGTTTGAACATTCTTTGGCACTGCCCTGGGCCTTTGGGTACTGTATATTCATTGCTGGGGCTTCACCTGCCCCCCTGGGAGCCTGACCTCCACCCTTCCTGTCCTTCTCTCCCTTTCCTTCTCCTAAGAGGGGTAGCTCTTTGTTTGGTGGAGATAACGTTTCTCTTGGGCTGGGGGGTGTGGTTGGGTGGGTGACCACATCACCAAGGTGAGCAGTGGGGTCTTGATGTACAGCTGGGGGTCACTCCAGGACGCCTGGGCTGACACCCTCCGGGCAAGGAGCTGTCTGGAGTGAGTCACTTCCCCGAGACTAGGCTCCGACAGATCACACGCTGTCTGACCCAGGCTCCACTGACAAACCAGCAGCTCCCCTGAGGGCTGAGCGCCCTGCGTGGGAACAGGCTTGCTCAGGCCCAAGGAATCCTGGGCGTTCCATCCCTGCCTGGCCACAGGTGTGTGGGGGAGTCCGGGCTTTGTGGGCCAGTCTCCCTGTCGGGGGTGGTCCCTCATCTCTGCAGTGCATGGCTGACCCCAAACTGTGGACTTGAGGGAGGGTCCACAGGGGGAGGGCTGACCATGTGGACCCAGGGGAAGCCACGTGCAGGGGGCCTTTATCACCTGGACAAGGACATCAGGGCCTGGTTGGAGGGGCCGTGGGTTCCTGTGTAGTGAGAGAGGGCAGAAGCCTAGGGTGGTCCGGTTTCCACCCCATGATCAAGGCCGTGGGGCCTGGGCTGGAGCCCTTCCCACCCGCTCGGGGGGAGTTGAGCCCTGACAGGCAGGGGTGCTGAGGTCTGCACCGCCAGTGAGCCTGACGGCCAGGTGTGGGCAAGTGCCAGTGGGGGCTTGGGGTGTGCTGCCCTTTTGTGCTCCCACATGTCAGGCAGAGATCTGGTGACCCTGCGAGGAGGAGCACCCTGCCCCCTGTACCTGGCACCATGTTTGGTGGCATGCATGTTCTGGGCACCATGGTGGATGCTCCCTGTCCTATGGCCTTTCTCTCCCCATGGGAAAGTCTCCACACTTGGTTTGCAAATCTCTGATACTGCTTCTTGTTAACCCTTCTCAGATGCTGGGCATCACCAGCTCCGCCTTCTGGAGTCCCCTGGCTGTCTCTTGTCCAGTCGGGCTCTTTCTAAGGGTCTGGAAGCCTCTTTGCCCAGCACTGCCTTAGCGGGCCCCTTCCTGTGGTCCCAGCGTATCCTCTTCCTGCGGTCCGCCAGGCTGGCTCCTCCCTCCTCCGTTGAGTGTCTCCTCACCCTTCATGTCTTCTTGCCCCCACCCCCACCACTGCTGCAGACATCTCACTGAACCCCTCCCTCTCCGATGGCCCCCAGCCTTCTAAAAGCATCACCAGGAGCTGCTCAAGCCCGCTTTCCTTCATTTTTCTCGTTTCCTCGCTGGCCCCCGATCCCCATCCAGCCCCCCAGCAAACCCAGTGGACTCTGCCTTCAAATTGTGTCCCAGATCCATCACTTAAGTCTCCTAGTGGCTCCCCACACACGGAGTGAACCCGTGTCTCCTTGGTCCCCAAGCACCCACCCTGGCGCCCCTTCTGCTGAGTCCAGCGTCCCTCCGCTGCACATCCTGGCAGGCCTGGGCTCACACTCCACCAGCACACCAGGCTCCTTGGAGCTCTGTCCCCTCCAGCGCTGCTGCCCCTTGTCCTTGGTCCCTCCTGTCCTTTTGTTCATGAGCGGGAGAGACCTGGAACCCGCTTGCGTGTAGACCCTGCTCAAAAACCGTGAGTTTACCAAACACCAGGTCAGTAAACATGACACTGGGCCTAAATGAAGAGGTCAGGGTGGTGGTGTGGCTCCTGCCCCTTTTAGGGAGGAGGACTGGGGAGGTGCAGGGAAGTGACCCCCCTTAGGTGGGAGGATCAAGCAGGCTGTCTGACCTGGCCCTGCAGAAGTCTCCCCAGGGTCGGGAGGCTCTTTCCTTTAGGAAGCTTCTTAGATAGGTTTTATATGTCATTCAGTTGATAAAATTTGTGGGTTTCCCCCTGGAAACATGCCTGCTCCTCTTGTGATACTTCTTCTGTGGTTGCACATGAGACTCTGTAGAGGCAGTCCAGGCCACGGTAGGAACAGGGCAGCGGAGAGGCTGGGGAACAGGTTTGGGCGCTGACCAGGCGGGGGCCTTACTACCCTGCAGTGATGCCGGGAGGCGAGAGGGTGGCCTTCCCAGACCCTTCTGATCGGGGTTCCCAGACAGCACTGGAAGGTGCCCACGGCCCACACGGCCCAGAGCTTCTCCGGGGGAAGCTCGGCCTCACTCCCCTCGGGCCCCACCCCCAACCTCCCTCCCTGCAGGCTCCGCCTCTGGCCTCCAGGCTGTCCTGTCCCCCCTCTGAAGTCCAGCCCTTTCCCTCCCGGTGCAGAGTGGGGCTCACCTCCCTTTTTCGGTGTTTGGTGTGTGGATCTGTGACCCCACAGTTCCCAGTGGGAGGCTGACGCAGCTCGGTTCCTCAGAGATTCTTTGCTCTTTGACTGGAATGGGGGTGGGGTGCTGGGGGGAGGTAGGTACGTGGGCAGGTGGGTGAGGATGACTGGTGGGAGGCTGGGGCAGGGTGCTGGAGGTGGGATGGTGGAAGAGGGCTTCTGAGGGTGGCTATGAGGGGGTCTGGTATGAGAGTCACTATGGCTCAGAGTATGACTATGCCTGGGAGAGTGATGAGTGTGAGAGTGCCTGTGAGTGACTATGGCTGGGAGAGTGACTATGAGCGACTGTGAATGACTATGGCTAGGAGAGTGACTGGTGTGAGTGACTATGGCTGGGAGAGTGACTATGAGTGACTGTGAATGACTAAGGCTGGGAGAGTGACTGGTGTGAGTGACTGTGAGTGACTATGGCTTGGAGAGTGACTATGAGTGACTATGAGTGACTAAGGCTGGGAGAATGACCAAGGGCCAGAGGCAGGCTGTGCCCCTTGCTGCTGCACACGGGGAGGCTGGTTTTCGGAGGTGAAGGAGGCTGACGGAGCACCTAGGTGGTAAGGGAAGTGATGCTGGGTTCCCCTTTAGGGATGGCTGGTTCATCTGGGATCTCTGTCTAGGGGGCTGGGATGTCCCAGGGGAGCTGGGGAGCTGGAATGTTTCTCAGTAACTGTTCAGCTAAGAGCCTCAGATCAAAGCCGGGCTCTGCCAGGTTCACCTGCCTCCTTCGGGCCAAGCACGCCCGCCCTGCCATGTCCCTGGGCGCCCAGGCGGGTGGACCCCCATTCCAGTGGGGGTGAGGGGGTGCCCAGGCGGGTGGACCCCCATTCCAGTGGGGGTGCAGGGGCCCGGGCAAATAGACTCCCAGTTCCAGTGGGGGTTCAGGGTGATGTCTGGCCCGCCACCCCCTCCCCCCGATGTCAGCCACGGGGACACTCTGGGCATCACCCTGAGGCCTTGCTGACCCCTTTACCCCCCAGCCTGACCCAGCAGTGGACCCTGGAGGACGAGGAGGAACAGGAGCGAGAACGCCGGCGGCGACACCGGAACCTGAGCTTCGCCGCAGACGACGAGGATCTGCCCGCCCGGGACAAGGACCCACCGGCCCCCGAGAGGTGCGGGTGGGAGGTGGGATCCCAGTGAGGATAGACCAGCCACCCCTGCCCGGGGAGCGGGCTGACCTTCTGCAGGCCCCACCCTGGTCAGGACAGCAGTCAGGATCAGTGTGGGTGAGCTGGGCCACTCTTGCTGGGCATTTTATAAGCGTAGCTCATCCTTCCATGCTCCTGAGAGGGTGCTAACCCACCTCACGTGTGGGCAGCGGTCAGAGAGTGTGCGGCTCGTGCACCGGGGGCAGGGCCTGGGGCTTGTCGGGCCCTGGGCAGACCATGCCCTTTCAGCCCGGCCCCTTCCCTCTAGTGGACCCCCGTGGTTTCTGACAGGAAGGAGGCCCCGCTGTTCTGACCACCAGCCCCGAGGCTGAGCGCCCTGACACACCTATCCGTGCGGACAGGGCCCACTCAGGGGACACATCTCCTCTCACCTCTGAACGAGCCCAGTTCGCAGATCTGGCAGCGGGCTCAGCGAGCGAGTGAACTCACCCAAGCCACGGGCGGGCAGGTGGAGGCACAGGAGGGGCCCCTCTGCTGCAGGCTGGGTTTGGGGCAGCCTCGTGTGTGCCTCCCCGTCTCCTGGAGAGGGGGCCACGGGCTGTGCGGCCTGTGCTGCACCCATGTGGCTGTGGAGGCCTGGGCTCCACTCCCAGCTCCCTGCCCATCCCCGTGTGACTCAGGCCAGCTCCCTGCCCATCTCTGCTCCTCATCTGTAAGCAGCAGGGCCTGACACAGGAGAGGTGTTTGTTGAACATGGAGTGGTTGCACCTTACAGGCGTTTATAATTTTTTTTAAAGCCTCTGTGCTTCGTTCAGATGATACCTTGGAAGCCTGATGGGTAAAGCAGATGAAAGCAATCCTGATTTAAGGGACAGTGGCTTGAGGGGTTGGGAGGGCATCAGGTGCCCTGAGGCGTCCCCCTGGGTCGGGTGCTCCCAGGGTCTCTCCTGCCACTGACCGTCTCCCGCCATCTCCCTTCCGACTCAGGCTGCTGAGCGTGGAGGAAGCAGAGGGGCCCCAGCCACCGGCCCCAGACCCCAGAGATGAGGAGGACATCCAGGCTGTCCTGAGGACGCGGCAGGAGCGGAGGCAGAGGCGCCGGGAGGCCCAGGAGGAGGCCAGGCAGCCGCCCCCGGTGCCTGAGGAGCAGGTGCAGTTGCCGCCCGGCCGGAGACTGAGCCCGGAGTGCAGCTCCGCGGAGGGGAGCCTGGCAGGCAGGGTGCCTGTGGGCTCCGAAAAGCTGTCTGCTGAGGGGAAGACACTTGAGCCGGAAGCGAGCCTGGACCCTGAGACCCCTAGCCCCAGTAAATGCTCCGTGTCCCAGAAGATCGCTGTGCTGGAGGAGAGAGCTGTCTCAGGAAAGAGGGCGGTTCCAGACAAAGCCAGCATCTCGGAGAAGAGACTGGTGTCTGAGAAAGCCACCGTCTTCAAGAAGACCCCGGCCCCCGAGACACAGCTGGCCCCAGGCAGGGCTGTGGCCCCAGCGCAACCCCAGGCCCGGGAGCACCCAGCCTCAGTGGGGCGCCCATCCAGCCCTGGGGGGCAGCGGGACGCTGGACCTGAGAAGGATCCCGAGTCCTCAGCGGGGCCTCTGCCCCGGGAGTGTGGCCTCCCGCCCGTCACTCTGCAGGTGTGCGGTGCCCCCCGCCTCCCCGTCCTCCCGGCATCTCTGGCTGCCTCCCCGTCTCCTGTCCTCCTGTCTCCTGTCCTCCCGGCGTCTCTGGCTGCCTCCCCGTCTCCTGTCCTCCTGTCTCCTGTCCTCCCAGTGTCTCTGGCTGCCTCCCTGTCTCCTGTCCTCCTCCCTCCAGGCCAGCCCCAGCTGCGTCTCCTCTCCCCGCCTGCTCTGCTGCCCACAGGACAGGGGACTGGGCTGGGGTCTTACCTGGCACCCACACAACACTCTCATCCCAGGCCCAGACTCCAGGGAAGCCTCAGATGCTTCTAGGAGCCCCCTGCCCCCAGAAGCCCTGTTCCCTGGCCTGGCCCTGGGCCTGTGGCCGCACCTCCACAGCCCAGGCAGCAGGCGGGAGCAGAGGACCAGCCTGCTGCCCCTGCCTTGCGGCTGCTGGGGTGAGCTGGGCCCGCGGGGGCTCCAGGCTGCCCGTCCTCCTGCATGACTTGCCCCCTGCTCCGTCCAGGTGAGGACGCCCTGCACGGAGGCCGAGGCCGAGGCCCCATCACCGACACGGGCCTCGCCCACCTTCAGCAGCGCCCTGCAGCGCTCCAGCCCCCGCACCATCTCCTTCCGGGTGAGCCTGGCTGCTGAGGGCCCCTCCCTACAGGGCTTGGGGCAGTGGGGAGGCAGGCAGGAGGCACCCCGAAAAGATCTGGGGGCCTCAAGGGGGGGCTGCTGACCTGGCTTAATGGGAGGGGCTGTGCCCCAGGCCAGAGGCGGGCCTTTCATGGGGTGTGGCTGGGGTCTGTATACAGTGGGGGCAGACCCCAGGGCGGGCTGCGTTCCGAGAGCTGAGTCCTCCCTTGCGGAGGCCGTGGCTGCCATGGACCCTGCTCACTGGCACCTTCCTTCTCCTTCCAGATGAGCCCCCGGAGAGACAGCTCAGAGGTGGCCTTAACCCGCAGGTCAGGGCCTGGGGGCTCCGGGGCTTGTCTGACGTGGGGCTGAGGCCCGAGGTGCAGCAACGGGAGGGTCCGGCTGCCTGGAGGGGGGGGGCGGGAGGGGCCGTCCTGAGCCATGGGGGTTCCCTGGGGGGAGTGGGTGTGCCAGGGTCGTTTGAGTCNGGGGGGGGGGGGGGGGGGGGGTGTGTGGGGCACACAGTGGATGAGGGAGTCGCTGCCCTTGCATCAGAATGAGACGTGCGGGAACCACGGGGCACGGAGGTGCTGGGGGTTCAGAATCGGAACCGAGGGCCAGAGCCCCTTGTGGCCAGGGGAGCTCGGCCTGTGAAAGTGGGGTAAGGGTACAGGGTGGTGGGCATCAGGGGGCGTGAGGTGGGGAGAGCTCTCAGAGAGTGGGGCGAGGGCACGGGGCGGTGGGCATCAGGGGGCGTGAGGTGGGGAGAGCTCTGTGAGAGAGCGGGGCGAGGGCACGGGGCGGTGAGCATCAGGGGGCATGAGGTGGGGAGAGCTCTCAGAGAGTGGGGCGAGGGCACGGGGCAGCGGGTATCAGGGGGCATGAGGTGGGGAGAGCTCTGCAGGCAGCTCTGGATGGAGGGTCGGTGAGCGGAGGGGCTTGGATCAGAGCCCATGTGGAGGCCAGCCAGCTGGCATGGCAGCATGGGGAGCAAGGTGGGGGTGCCTGGGTCAGGAGGGCATCAGACCCTGGTCGTGAGCCTTTCATGCTGCTTGTGCCTGAGAGCAGGATGGGGTTGATCTGGGATGGGGGCCCTGGGGACCAGGGGGCGGGTGGAAGGTGGAGAGAGGGGAGCAGCATCTGAGGCAGGACTGACTCCGTGGGGCAGGGACAGCAGCTGTTTCTGGCCTGGGGGTCCTGCCGAATGGACCATGTCTCAGGAGGACAGGGAGACCCCTCAGTCTGTATATGGAGGCCGTATTCTCTTTGCCAGAGTGAGGTGGGGCTCACGGGCAGGCCCGGTGTCCCGTGGGCGGGCAGAGCCTCATCTGCTTTGTCTTGCCCTGTCTTCCTGCCTTGCAGCGCCAGCATGAGGCTCCCGGCCAGCTCAGTCAAATTAGGCCCAAAGCTGGAGCGATACCACTCGGCCATACAGGTGAGTGAGCCAGTCCCTGGAGTGTGCTGGGAGTGCCGGGGGCCTCACCCTCCAGGGTCAGCGGCCTGTGCTCTCTGCTCCCAGAGATCAGAGTCCGTCAAGTGTGCAAGCCCGTCCCGCACTGAGTTCCTCATGGCTCCTGTGGATGTCGCCAGCAAGCGCCACCTCTTTGAGAAAGAGCTGGTGGGCCAGAGCCGAGAAGGCCCAGCCTCCAGCCGCAAGGTAAGTGGCTCTGGCCCGCCAGGTGTCTGCAGAGCTGGAGCCTGGGCACTGCAGGACAGCTCTGTGCTTTCCTGCATCCGTCTGGTGGACTCGAGGGCCCGGCCATGCCTGTCGCTGAGCCCCCAGCCCAGCTGTACACACAGCTCCAGGGGAGGGTCCTGTGGCCTGAGCTGTGCGGATGTGGTGAGGGGGGCCCTCTGGAGATGCCAGCCCGGCCCCAAGGTGGAAGCTCTCTTCTCAGGAGAACTTGCAGCTCTCGGGGGTGGTGACGTCACGGCTCAACCTGTGGATCAGCAGGACCCAGGAGTCAGCACAGCAGGGCCCTCAGGTACCGTGCCCCTCTGCCCCCCCAACCCCCACCCCAGTCTCCCTGCAGGCCTCACATAGCGGGATGACCTGTCAGGGGAGGGACAGCCCCGAGCACAGTGGAGATGCTCTGCATGCGGGACGGCATGGGGAAGCCTGCGGGTCAGAGCGCGGAGAGGACGGGGTGAGCCCGGGGGCTCTGTGGTAGCCTGAGCCTGATCTCTGTCCCAACACCCAGAACCAGGAGATGCAGAGGGAGTCGGCAGCCGGCAGGAGGCCCCAGTGGAGGAAGAAGCCAGAGCCCCCGCTGGGTGCCGAGGTGAGCGTGGGCCCAGGGGCTGGGGTGGTTGTTTCTGGAGAATTTGGGCTGGCAGGCGCCGACTCCTCCACTTCAAGCCTGGGCTCTGCCCAGCGCGGGGGGCCTGGGGAAAAGGGGGCATCCCTGCACCCCCCTGGGCAACCCCTCATCCTAACCACCCTCGGTCCCACAGGTGTGAGGAGCCAGTCTCAGGCCAGCAGCCATGGCGGTCACCTCTCCCGCCCGCTTCCCGCCCTGGACCCGGGAGGACACTGGCCAGCATCCTCCCCACCCCTCTGGAGCAGGCAGGCGTGCCCCGTGCCTTGGCTGGCTGCGGGCACTGCGCGTCTGTACACAGCCTTGTCACCCTGTCTACATGGACGCCTGTTCTTCCTCTTCCTCTGGGGCTGTCGGGTCGCACCAGTGTCTCTGTGCACCTCTCCCCGCTGGCCCCCACCATCCCTGCGCCGCCTGCCAGATGCTGTGCCGACCCCTCCCGGGCCTTGCCTCACTCCCCTTCATGCCCCACCTGCTGCTCTAGCCAAGCCGTCCTGTGCCCTCTCCCCACTCTCAGGAAAGAGATGATAAACTCATTCACTCTCAGGTGTGACCAATAATACCTTAAAAATCATTCCTTCTGGAGGCTTTGCTTTTCAGTGGAGACTAAATGGCTTGAGGAGAATGTTTCGGCTTCAGGGGCCCAAGGGGGGCAGGCATTTGTCTGCCAGCAGCCTCTGCGGCCACAGCCCTGCACACCTGCTCCCAAACCTGGTTCTCCGCTCCCCTGCCCTCAGTGGGCCAGGGGGATGCTGAGCTGTCTAGACCAAAGCAGCCGGAGCCAGCCTGCATGCTGTGTGTGGCTGAGGGTGTGTATATGTGTGGGTTGTACGTGTGTGTGCGTAAGTGTGTGTGTGGTCCACACGTTTTCCCATCACGAGACTTACGTGAGAACCCTGCTCTCAGGTGCCTGCTTGGGTTTCTCTGGAGTCAGTGACACCCCACACCCGCTTTGCTCCAGCCCCCCTGTGGGCCTGGTCCTGAGGGAGGCTCCCGTCCCGTGTCCTGGGGCCAGGGATGGAAGGGCCTTGGGGCCCCGCCTGTGAGCCCAGACTGGCCCGCCTCCAGCAGGGGGTCTCACATGGCTGGCCCCATGCCCGCCTAGAGCTGGGGGCAGTGGGACCCAGAGGCCCTGGCTGGCCACTCCCACCCACCACCACATGTGCAACCCCGGAGCTGCTGGACGGAGCCAGGAGGGCTGGGCTGGGCGCCCCCAGAGAGGCAGGCCCCGCTCTGGGCTGCCCCACCAGGAGCTTGGTCAGCAAGCGACAGAGAGGTGCTGAGCGCCCGCCTGCTCCACTGGGGAAGGTTGTGGCGGGGGGGTTTGCCCAGCACAGCAGAGCCCTGCCTCCGGCATGGGGGTCTGAGAGGGACCCGAGGGGTCTTGGCCCACCTGGCCCTGGGGTCTGGGCATCTGGCGCTGCTGCCCCTGGGGGAGCCCTTGGTGCCCATCAGGGCTGCCTAGGCAGGGTGTGGAAGGCAGCACCATGCCGCCCACCCCTTTGCACTCACTCATCACACACACGAAGACCCTGCACTCACCCTTCTCGGGGGATGCACGCCCAGGGCAACCTCAGGGTGACGTGTGAGGACAGCACGCCGCCTGGGCACCTGCCTGGCAGGGGCCGTGGAGAGGCTGCCCCGCTTCCTGCGGGGGCAGCACAGGCCCTCAGGGCTGAGGACTCCGTCTCTGCATTCTCGTCCCTCTGCTGTAAGCTCGGGGAGGTGACTTCACCTCGCCTGCAAGGGCAGGACGTCCAAGGCAGGCCAGCTGTGGCAGCTGCAGTGACGGCCGCCTGCGCTCTGAGTCCATCCTGCCTTAGCACGGTCCCTGGAGGCCGCACACAGTCAGGCCACGGGTGCCAGGAACCTGCCAGGCTTTTCCTGTGGGGCCTCGGGTGCCAGAGCCCTCTCCCAGGCATCCACGCAAGCAAATTCTGTCCTGTTTGAAGGACTTTTGAGCTTACAAGGTGCCCACTGGAGTAGTTCCAGTTAAGGGAAGCTGTAGGAAAAGCAGTTCCTAAATTGCAGGAGATTTCGGGCCAGGACACAAAGCCTGGCTGTGCCCCCGGGGGTCAGACCAGGAGAGCAGATGGAGGCCTGGCCGCTCACTGTCCCCCGGTGCTGGCTGCTGGTGTGTGGCTTCAGCCGGTCCTGCCCTGGATCTGCTGGCGTGGAAGGGCCACTGAGCCTGGAGGAGGCGACTCAGGCCACTGGGCTCAGAGGCCCCCAGGGATCATGGAAGGACAGCCTCAGCTGAGACGGGGCCAGGTCGATAGCAGAGCGGGTGAGGAGCGCGTGACGGATGGGGCCTGGGGCTTCCCAGGCAGCAAAGTTGAGGGGGGGATGGGATGTGGGTCAGGCGAGGGGGGAAGTGGGGAGAGGCTGTCCTTGCCCATGGAGAGGAGTGTGCATCACCCACAGGCCCTTGGCAGGGCCAGGGCTCAGGGCCCAGGGGGAGTCAGGCAGGCCGGTGGCCCTGAAAATTCAGAAAGCAGGCCTCCCTCAGGTTTGCTTCCTCTTCTTTTGTTTTGTCATGAGCCTTTCCATGACCCAGGTGCTGTGCTGGAGGCTGCAGACACAGGCGTGCAAGCAAATGCTAGGCCCCTGGGTGCTGGCCGCGTGGACCTTGTAATCTAGTGGGTTTAGCAGATCATAATTTTAAAGCCATCATGGCTTCCCTGACCCTTTATTCAACCAGCTGCCTCTTTGAAGAGAAGCCTCACTCTTGGCTGGAAGTTCGACCTTGAATCTGATCCCCTGCAATGGGTCTACTCCCTGCCCAGTGGGGAGGGTTTGCCACGTGGCTTGGGGGGCAAGCAGACTGCTCTGTAGGTGTGCTCACCAAGACCACCAGAACCTGCCTCCCCCACCAAGGGTGTTCACCCGCTAAAGGAGCCAGTAGCCTGGAAGCATCCTTGTCCACACATCACCACAGCTGAGCTTCTGACCCCGCCCTGCCCCCAGCCTGCCTTCCCGACTGCTGGCATCCACTTTATCGGGGTTCTCAGGACAGACAGCTGGCTTGTGTTATGTGCCTGCTCCCTCCTGTCCTCTGCCTGTCTGTTCTGGTTTTAAATAGCTTATCTGAGCAGCTGGACGACCACATGGGCTTATATGGCCTGGGGTATATGTTCCCTTAGCCCTGTCCCTGGCACCTGCCAAAATAGCAGCCAACACCCCCTCTCCCCCTGCCCCCGCCACCCCTGGCGTGACTCCCGCGCACATTCCTCTCATCGCTGGGCCGCAGGCCTGCTTAAAGCCTGTCCAGCCCCTGCCCTCGCCCAGACCCCGCGAGGCGAAGCAGACACCACAAGACCCGTTGGCAGCTCCTGTTCTGGGTAAGACTGGGGCAGACTCTAAGAGCAGAGGGGTATCCTGTCGTCTGGGCCCTCTGTTCCAAGTGGCAGTGACCACTTTGACTGGGTGTCGGAGCTGGGAGAGGCCCCCTTCCCTGGGAAGCTTTAGAGGGCTGGGCCTCGAAGATGAATCCCTGAGCCTAGTTTAACCGACCCATAGCTGGAGGCTGAAGACTCGGGTCTGAGTCACAGACCTCCCACTGAAGACCTGGGGTGGGTGGAAGATCTTGGGTGAATAGCTGTCCTTCCCTGGGCCTCTTGCCTCATTTGTGGGATGGAGAGATAATTGCCAGGCCTCTAAATGAAATGATGCTATCACCCTTGGGGACCCCCCTCCCAGCGCCTCCTCCCTCCAGGTGAGAAGCCCCTGCCCCATCCTGGGCAGGTCCTCCTCCCTCCCCGGGGAGCAGAGCCAGGCCGTGTGTGCCCGTACCAGTCAGAACAGTCCTCGTGGCCACATTCTCCTCACTGGGGTTCAGAAGCTGTCAGAACTGCTGAGAAAGGCTGCCCACCAGAGGACCAGGGAACCAGGGAACCCGGAGGCCCTTCCAGGCAGACGCAGGGCTGGGCCCCATCCTGGACAGGGCACGGGCTGAGCGGCATGGAGAGACCTGCTTCCTGGCTCCCTGGGTCAGGGTGTTAATCCTAAGTCCAGTGCCCCCAGCCCAAGGCCCCTCGCACTCCCCATGCCCCCTGGGGAGAGTGCTTGCTGGAGCTCTGGGGGGAGAACTGCTCCCTCCTGAAGGGACACGGGGGGCCGGCTCCTGGAGATGGGCATTTGAGGCTCATTTTTGTCAGGGTGCAGCTGGGAGGCCTGACGTCCCGAATTCCTCCTCTGACCTGGGTCTTTGTGCAGGAGAGGAATCTGGGAGGATCGTGTTGCCCTGGCCCAGCTCTGTGGGTGGGCCAACAGCTGCGGTCAGGGCGAGTCCAGCTGCCCGCCAGGCACAGGGCTGAGGGTGGGGCCTCCGCTCTTCTGTTTCATGGATAGGTTAACGGAGGCCCAGAGAGGTTAAGTGACTCAGCTAAGGTCACACAGCAAAGCTGGGTGTTAAATCTGGGTCTTTGACAGCACGGCCAGTTTTCTTTCTGCCTTCTAAGGTTTCTGCTTTATTCCCCAAGAAAGGTGATTGTGGCCTTTTGGCTGTAATGGCGACCTGCTAGAAAGGGTGGGTGGGGGCTCGGTGTGGGCCTTCTAGCCCCTCTCCCAACTGAAGGCCCCCCTGGCCCCCACGCCTTCCTGCCACCAGCGCCTGGACACAATCTCAGACGCCTCCTCTGGCCTGGAAGCCCTCCCCCACCCCACCCTGCCTCTTGAGGGGCTCTATTTTTAGGAGCTGTGCTTGCAGGAGCAGGGGGCTCGCAGGGCCATGCGGGGACTCGGAGCCAGCAGAGGGGTGGGCCGCAGAGGAGAGAGTGTGAGAGCCGCATCCCAGGCTGGCCCATCCACTCCCAGGAGGCCTCTCTGCACCCCAGGGTGACAGACTCCTCCCGGGGCTCAGGCCCCTGGCCTGACTGCTCCCCCGGGGCTCCGAGCAGTGCTGACCTGCCAGTCCTCACCCACCCTGGGCTGGGGGCTGTCCCCCTGCCGCTCTTCCCCCAGGCCCCATTTGGAGACTCTCTGGGATGAGTACCCCCACCCAGGGGAGCCAGCTTCAGTCCAAAGTGCCCCGTTGCCAGCCCCACCCTGCCTGCCCTGCTGTAGGTCCGCTTGCCCTGACCCAGCAGGGCTGGATGACTTGGAGCAGGCTCAGAAGAGTTGCCAGCCTGAGACTGCCGCCTGAGGTGGTGGCCCCCATGGGGGCTGCGGGCCGGGCTCCTTCAGCACCTCTTAGCCTCAAAGGGGCTGCCTTGCGGTGGACACCATGCCACCTGCCAGAGCTGGGGCTTGCGGCATGTCTGCAGACAGCTGCCTGGCTGGGTCTCAGCTGTGAGGGCGGGGTATGGGGGACAGGTGAGGGGGCATCAGCACCCCGTCCAGGGCATCGTCACTGTGGCCTGAGTCACAGGTTGGTGGCCGCAGTGCTGGGTGCAGCCTCCCTTCACCCCAGCCTTCCTCCCCTTGGAGAAGAGGAAACTGAGGCACAGGGGGCCAACGGCTTTCCCACGGTCACACACACTGGGCGTGGAGTTCACGTTCCGAGCCAGGCCCGCCTCCCAGCCACCCCTCTGGCCTCTCCCTGTGCTCACAGTGACGGGACGGCAAGAGACGCTCCCCCGTGTGGGCCCTGGGCTGCCTCCCCACAGGCCTTGAGAGGGGAGCTTGGGTCCTGGCTTCTGTTCTCAGTGCAGCATGGGGCCACCCTGGAGAAGCTCCACAGAGCTGGGCTTTTCGTAGAGACGGCGGCTGTGAGAGATGAACAGACCCCGCACCCTCCCAGGGTCCCCAGGGAACCGCCACACAGGCTGGGACGTGGGCATTCCCTCATCTGTGATCCTGCTTGGATTCCCTGCTCAGCTCGCACTCCCCATGTGTGGTGTGTCTGGGGTGTGCGGTGTGTGTGTGACTGTGTGTGAGGGTGAGCCCCGTCCGTTTACCCGTGTGTCTGTGGAGCCACCGGCACGGCAGCCTTGGGTGGCTCCACAGCCGCGTGTCCCCCGCGTGTCCCCTGTGTGTCCCCCGCGTGTCCCTATGCACAGGCCCCATGGCCCCGCTCCATCCTCTGTGTCTGCCCCGTGGTGGTGCTGAGAGCTTTACAGATGGAACTGCACGCAGTGGCTCCTCCCTGTGACCGTGGGCCCTCAGTTTGGCCCCGGGTGTCGGCTGACCCTGCGGGTTCCTCCCTGTCACCAAGCCGCTCCGGGGGGAGAGGCCTGGGTGGGCCAGAGACTCGGAGCCGCTGTCCAGCAGTCGGCCGAGGGGCGTGGAGCCTGTAGCCTGGACCTGCTGGGACGGAGTCTCTGCCTGACAGGGGCGTGGGCCCGGGGCAGCTGGTCCAGGGCTGGGGGATGGCAGGCCCAGCGCTTCCCGCAGAGCCGGGTGGCTGGCCCTCTGCCCACCTGGACTGTCTCTCTCTCTGCAGAGGGAAGAGGAGGCCATGTCGGACGTGGAAGAGACGGTGGATGAGTATGAGTGAGTCCTGGGGTGCTGGTCAGGGGCTGCGCCTGTCAGGGGTGTGGGGAGAGCTGCACCCTTGCTTCCAGCTAGGGGATGGGCTGGGCCAGGGGCTGGGGGCTGGGCCTCCTGAGAAAAGACCAGAGAGTTTCTGTGAGGACCCAGAGGCCACAGAGCCACTGTGCCCAGAAACCCGCCCCAGACCTGGCCTCACGGCCCTGGGGGCTGCCAGTCCTGCCCTCTGCCCTGTCCTGGGGGCCAGGGAGGGGGGCATGCTGCAACCCATCAGTCAGTCGTCCCTGGGGGAGGCAGTGCCCGGGGCAGACAGGACCGCAGGCGTAGCTTGGACCCTGAAGACCCCTTCCTGGGCACTGAGGGTGCAGAACTGGGGGATGGGTGGAGGACTTGTGCCTGTGGACTTGGGCCGGGTGGACGGGGAGGGGGTCGTGCCGAGCCCAGGGACCAGCACTAGCCAGGTTTCCTGTGGGGGAGGCAGCCGAATGGAGCCGGGCAGGGCTGGGCTGTGGGTGGGAGGTGGGCGGACTCCAGGACCCAGCACGGGGGTAAGTGTCTCTGGGAGAAGGCCATGGGGCGTGTGCGCGTGTGTGTACGTGTGCGTGCTGTGTTCCTGACAGCGTCTCCTCTGATGCCGCAGGGAGCAGGAAGGTAAGCACACCCCGACTCTCACTGGGCGGAAGGACGGCCTGGATGGAAACTGACTGTCTCTTTTCTCCTGTCTTGCGCTCACGCCTCCTCCCTGGAGCAGAAGCAGCCACAGAAGGTACGGGGGTCAGGGGTCACCCAGGAAGCATCTTGCCTGTCCCCACCCCCTGCTCCCAGCTGATCAAAGCCCCCCCAGAAGACCTGGCATTCTGTGGGCAGAGTCCTGTGCCGGGGCCATGCCACCTGTCTGCTCCACCTCCTGACCAGGCTGGGGGCCACACCCTGCCAGCAAGTGATGAAAATAGAAACCCCCCACCCCCGGCCCTCTCGCATGCTGGGCGGCCCCTCACCCACATGGGTCCTTTCTGGTCCCAGACACTGAGGAAGGGACTCCAGGGCCTGAGTCTAGGACAGGACCTTGATCCTGTGCCGTGATGTCAGAGAACGAGCTGGGGAGGCAGGCTGAGTCAGACACAGGGCCTAGAGGCGGCCCCACCTCAGTGGCGCCTCCAGGTGCAGAGGGGGCTCTAGCCCCAGAGAGGCAAGTTTCAAACAGGAGAACCCTGCGCAGACTTCCCCTGAAGGAGCAGACACGGAGCGTTCCAGGCTTTGTGGCCCCTGGTCCTGCTGAAGCCGCCGCTCCAGGAACACTCTGTTTAGAAACGGTCTGAGGGCCGTTGGGCCCCAGTTTGTGGTTTCTGGTTTAAACCAAGAACAGAGTGGCCCCTGTCAGCCACACAGGTCCCCCCAGATTCACTGGGACCTCGGATGTCACTGGGCCCTACCCCTCCCTGTGCCAGGCCTGCTCACTGTCTGGTTCACCTCTCCAGAGCACGAGGAGGTGGTGGAAGAGGAGGCTGGAGGTGAGGCTGAGGCTGGAGAGCCCAGCGCCGCAGGTGAGGCCCCTCCTGGAGCGAGGGGGGAAGGGGCTGCCTGAGCTTGGGGCGGCAAGGGCCACAGCGCCATTCCTGCGGCAGCAGGAAGGACCCTGGACCCTGCTCTGCAGCCTGGGCAGCCCCCCGTCCAGGCCGGGCTCCGCCTCGTCAGTACACGCTACACCTGCTCCCTTCGGCCAGGCGGGCCTGGCCCCGGCAAGTGTGCACAGGCGGATCCTGGACCCGGAGCCCGGCAGGGCCCCCTTGGCTGAGGACATGTGGGGGAACAGGGGGCTACTGGCAGGGCCTTGAGCTCAGAACCGGGACTGTGACTCCTTTCTCATGTTCTGTTCAGAAGATGGAGAAGAAGAGGAAGGTAGAGAGGCTGAAGGTAAGGCCCCCTGGCCATCGGGACACGGCAGGGAAGCCCCTCCTGCAGCTATGGGGGAGACCCTGGGGGGTGGGGGAGACCCTGGGGAGGAGGAGGAGATACCCTGAGGGGAGGAAGGGGAGACCCTGGGGAGGAGGAGGAGGCCCTAGGGAGGAGGGGGAGACCCTGGGGAGGAGGGGGAAACACTGTGCGGAGGAGGGGGAGATACCCTGGGGGGACGAAAGGGAGACCCTGGGGGGCGGGGGAGACCCTGGGGAGGAGGGGAAGATACCCTGGGGGGAGGAGGGGGAGACCCTGGGGAGGAGAGGGAGACCCTGGGGGGGCAGCAGTGACCCTGGGGGGCGGGGGAGACCCTGGGGAGGAGGGGGAGACACCCTGGGGAGGAGAGGGAGACCCTGGGGGGTGGCAGACACCCTGGGGAGGAGAGGGAGACCCTGGGGGGCAGGCACAGATCTGTGTGTGTCTGCAGGTTGGGCTCCTCCTTCCAGAGATAGTGCCTTGGGGGTGCCCAGGGGGAGAGGGCCAGGTTGGGTCAGGACAGTGGTCACATCCTGTCTGTCCATGAGGTTTCTGTAGCTTGGGTGAACCACGGGAGGGTGGGGTATCTGGGGCTGAGATCCCAGGTGCGGATGGTCCATGGGGTGGGTCACTGCTGTGGGCACTGTTGACCTTCACAGGGGCCTAGGTGGCCTGAGTCACACCTCCGGAGTGGGACAGCCGATGGGGCTTGGAGTCACACCCATCAGCTTCCTAGTCCTGAGCTGCCTCAGGTCTGGGGGGTGACTGTGGAGGCAAAGACTTAGGCATGGACTCTGGGGCCAGGACCACAGGACCGTGTCCCCGACCCCTCCTCCCTGTGTGGCAGGCACTGCTGAGTGAGAGCCCTGTGTGCACTTGCGTCCCTGAGACCTCCAGAGCATCAGTCCTGAGTGGAGCCTGGGGTTTGCAGCTCTACAGCTTAGTTCTCTGGCTGCTCCTGCAACCCGGGGACGGGAGGGAATCACTGGTGATGGGCAAATGGAGGCTCATGGGTGCCAGTTTATCAGGGGCACAGTGGGGCCAGATCCAAGCCTCCCAACCCCAAGTTCACGTGCTTTCCTCCTCTCCAGATGGCCCAGTGGAGGAGTCCAAGCCCAAGCCCAGGTGAGTGGTGAAGCCCTAGGAGCAGAAGGCCCGTGAGAGAGAACCCTCGGGACAGGACTGAAGTGCACATGACACAGCGGGCACAGGCTGGGGCGCGGCAGGCACAGACCACCATGTACAGATGTATAGGTTGTGTACTGCACAAGAGTCTGCTGGGTGTGTGGGGGTAGCGGGATGGGATGACTGAAAACCACCCACACTCCATCACCAATGCCTTGCCCTGCTACAGTCAGCACTATGTCCATCTAGAGGGAAAGGATAGACTAGCCATGGACCTGGGCAGACACCCTGTCCAACCCCTCAGGAGAGCTGGGACACTGTCCTCGGTGGCTGGAGGAGGACCTGAGGGAAGAAAATTTGGAGAAACCAAGCAGTGAAAGTGTGTCAGTCTAGGCATGTGGCTTCAGAGGGTCCCGAAGGGCCACACAAGACAGACATGGGAACTCTGGGTGCAGAGGGGCAGGGTTTCGGAAATGCCAGCCCTGCGATCTGATGGCGCCTCAGCACACAGTCCAGGAGACGCTCCAAAAGCAGCCCAGCCTGGCAATCCAAGCCCCTTCCCATCCCCTCATTGGAGCAAACACTGCGGTGTCTTGGTTCAGATCCCCACACTCAAGGGCAGACAGGAAAGCAGGGCTCAGTGTCCCATCCTGGAGTCCCACAGCAAGTGGGTGAGGTGTGTGAGGCCGAGCACCACCTCCCAGGCTCCTGGAGTCGGCCAGGAGTGTGGGTCAGCTAGGGTGCAGAGCCAAGCCTCTCTGCTTCCTGGCTGCATGGTTTTGAGCAAAGCCTTATGTCTCTGAGCCTCTGTCTTCCTGAATGGGATGAATGGTTTCCACTCCAGGTAACTGTGAGGATACATGAGGACACTGTAGGTGCCCCAGTCCTGAGCGGGCGTGGGGACCCCGGCTGGGCACCATGCTGGTGTCATTGTGTGGGTGGCTGGGTCTCGGCCTTTCTGCAGGGAGGAGAGGGACCTGCCCACCCCCTTATCACATCCCCTCTGTGCAGGGAGGGATTGGTGCTCACCCCTCCTTCTGCCCACCAGGCCCTTCATGCCCAACTTGGTGCCACCCAAGATCCCTGATGGAGAGAGGGTGGACTTTGATGTGAGTGCGGACTCAAGGAGGGCAGCCCCCGCCTCATTAAAGACCTCAGCATGCACCCCCCCTCCCCCGCCCCGCCTTCACGCTTAGGGGAGGACACGGGGGGAGGGGCACCGTGTCCTATAGCACCCTGGGCTCGACCCCAGTTGTTCTCATGACCCCAAGGCCTCGCTCCTGCCCTGCGGGCGGGGTCACGTCTGAGTGCCGCCCCCCCCCCCCCCC